GGGAGGCTAAAATTCACGGGGACGGTTTTCACCGCCCAGGGAGGGAGTTTCTTTCTAAAGATGGGTGGTTGCTGCAGAAAGGACGGGTGTCCCAAGGTCCCTTCCATCTCGCCCAGTGATTCTTCACCCATTTGTCTCCTCTCCGGGCCACACTCACACCCCCAGCTAGACTGGGCAGAAGTGGAGGTTGGCACAGGGACCCAGCCCTTCTCTCGGCGGGCCGAATCCAGCCAGCTCGTTTGGCCGTGGCGTATTCCTCGAACGTGGCTTCGCGGTGGTTCTGGGTGAACTCAGCCAGGATGGAGGGAGGGAGACAGGGTGCCCTGCGCCCAGAGTTGGTGGGCCTCCGTGCTTCTCTCCTTGGTTGCGCCTTCTCTCTCCCTTGCGCAGGGAGCACGGCTGGGCTGCCCGCTTTAATGCCAGCTCTGGCTTGAAGCTAGGGAGCCTCCAGCAAGGGAGGCCTGCGACGCGTCATAGTGGAGGTTCTGATGCACATCTCACCACCCCGCGAGTCAGCCCTTCCTGTGCTCCCGCCACGCGGAAGGGCACCAACCCCTCACCTCCCAGGGCTCCAGCCAGCGGGGTCTTCCTCCCGCCCCTGTGAAACACGCTTTGCCTTTAGCCTTAGCCAGCTTTGGGGAAGGGAACGTCTGCCACCGTGTGAAGGAGGCCTAGGTTTTGATCCATGAGGACCAGGACCTTAAACCGCTTTTAAGCTGCCCTGGGGCAGAGCCCCTCAGTGTCCCCGTTTCAGTTCCCAACTTTTATTATTCCTTTTTCTTAATAATAATGACTTGATTAAATTTTAAAATCGGTTCGCAAGTTTTAGACTTGACCCTGTATTCTGGGTCAGTGGAAGGGAGTCTCTCTGTCCCTTGATTCAGAACCATGAGGACTAGAACATTCATCTGCCATACGCACTGAAGTCCCCAGACTGGCAAAGGGAGAGCAGGGCGTCTTGGCTGGGGGGACAGGAGGGGGGCCACTTCCTACATTGTGTTTGTGTGATACGCAAAGATGCATGGCAAGGGAGACCGCAATCTGGTTGCTTGTGCAAAGTTGACACCTGTTTATTCATCAGCGTCACATTCAGGAAAAATAGGGCAACGTCTCTACAGTTGCAGTTAGAGAAATGCAGAGACTTCGCTCAGCTCAGCATTTGAGCGGCTCTTTCCCGCACTTCAGGTTCCAGTAAACGGTGTAACCTTCATTGTAGGTGTCCAGGTTCTCTCGGAGGCAGATTGCCAGGGCCTTGTCGCACTCGCAAATCTGCTTCTTGCACCAGCTCTTGGTCCCTGCAGAGAGCAAAGGCGACCGTGGAGGCCCCGCGTTAGTCCTGCCCACCCTTCCAGACCGCTCAGCCTGCCTTTTCCCAGGGCTGCAAACATGGGCACGGCCACCGGAGGGCGGCAGAGACACAGAGGACCCCGTTTGCTGCCCCCGCGTGGACAGCCTGATCTTTGCAGAGGGGAATTTGTCTTTTCCCCAGCTTAGGCGAAGACAGGGCGGGTGGCCCGAAGTTCATGAAACAATCCCCCCCCTCTCCCCCCACTTGCTTCTGGCTAGTGGAACCTGGTCTCTCCAGCCCCCTCACCGCAGATGATGACTCCGTCTTGCCTGGTGTATTCGTAAATATTCAGTTTGGGCTTACAGGTGGTCAGATTCCCGTAGCAGCAGTTGTGGGTCTTGCAGCAGCTGGAGGGAGGAAAGGGAGAAGCCGGGAAGGATTTAGCGAGAGAGAGAGGAGGCGAGGCCCTCACGCCCTGCTGTTGCGCCACAAAACGGGCCTGAGCTTGGTGCCGAAGCCAAAAGACATCCAAACACGAGGTGCAGAATGAAGGGTTGCTTTTATTAAGGTACCGGAACAAAAGGACTCCAGCCTGTAAGGTGGCAGGAGCCCTGAAGACAGTTTGATGACAATCTTTATACTTCCCAAATTGCCTCCCTGGTTCCTCATCGGTCAGGTACTATGGAGCTTACAACCTATCAGGCACGCCAGATACAACTTCCGGTTGTCCCGCCTTAGTTTACATCTCCCACTACCCCACTCTACAGCCCCTTGCCCTTACTTACAGTTACCCATATTTGGGGCTTCCGTGTCATTTTAAAGGCTACCTTCTCCTTGCAGGCTGCGCCAAACTGACCGCACCCTGTTGCGATCGTCGCCATTCTTCTCCCCTCTGTATGGCCCAAGCTGCTTTAAGCCTATATCTACCTTTCACCCATCCTCTTTTCCAGGCCGTGGGCTCCCTTGCAAGCGTTCCAGCATGTTACCCCCCTCCCCTTTTCCCTTCTCAGTTGCCCCAGCAGTGGGTGGTTGGGCTCATTCCTCTTCAAAGGGGCGTTGGTGTGGCCTTAGTTCCACGTATGAACTGGGGGGGGGAGATTAACCCCCTTCTTCTGACCCTTCACTGCCACTG